GCCTCCAAGGGGCGCAAGCACACGAGTTACAGAAAAGGAAGTGTTTAAGTCTAAAAGCTAAAGGAATGAAAATTACATATTCTTTGTTCGAGAGTTTTTGATTCGGTCCTTTACTTCTAAGTTCTTTCTCCCTTTTATACTTCATAGGCAATCCCTTTGTGATTAACTGCTCTAAAAAACTGTTTGATCGCCCTATAACTACCCACTTTCTTTGTAGTGGCCATTTTGTCATGAAACTGTCCTTTTAACTGCTGCCATTATCTTGCATCGTTCAACCGCTTTCGATTGAACCCCTTGAGTCGTGAAACGTGATAAGGTTACTTTAGCAACTGCCTCATTAACTGCATTTCTTGATAATCATAATGCGTTATGTTTGTTGATACGTTAGGCGACTTGAAGATTTGGGCGAGACTCTGGGCGACCGTATGCCACTCTATTCGTTCAGATTCTGAGCGACTTGCAAACTTGGGCGATGGCGTTACCGCACTATTGGACCCCTTATTTGGGCATTCACCTTGATTCGTTCAATTGGATTTCGTTCTTTGGGCTATCTGATTTGGGGATCCTCCAATTGGGCTTTACTCTCTGGGCTATTCGATCTGGGCTGAATTTTTATGTGTCAACAGCAATAATACAATCTTTTCTAAGTGTACACTTTAAAATCAATATAGTGTTCCAAATGCACCCAAATTGGAAAATGTAAAGCCATCTCCAATGGTAGCCCAAAATACCAAATTTGACCAAAATTTGGTGCAAAAGCTCTCCAATGTAGCATCAAAGTTTGCACCATTTTGATGCATAGTAAACCATTTTGGTGCAAATGGTGCATGTCATATTTGCCATTTCTTTCCATTTGCCAAATTAATTGATGGAGGGTATTTGGGTCATTTATGTTATATTTTTTTAATACAATAATTTTTCATTATTATTATTTTAATATTTTAGATAATTTAACGTAATTATTTATTTAGTAATTTATGTATTTATAAAATAAATAAATAAATATTTTTCAAATAAATAAATTATTTAGAATAAAAAAGAGCAGAAAATGATTAAACATCGTACATTTGGTGTAATGCTTGGTGATTATTTTTAATTTGGTGCAAATTTTGTTATAAAATGATGTAAATTTTAATGTAGGGTCGAAGATGGACTAATGACATGCATTTCACTTTGGTGTTGAGATGGTGGCCAGAGGGAAAGGCGGTGTAATGTTAGTGAAGAAGGCGACAAGCCCTTGATAACTGCAGAGTATTGTAGGGATCATTTGCACCTTTTCCATTATTAAATCTACTATTTTGTAGGGCCAAAAGTTATATTGAGTCAAAGAATGTGCTAACTTGTTTTGTTTATCCTTTGTTGTTTGTTGTTTTAGACATATTAAAGAAGAGATAATGAAAAGAAAAGGAGTGTAAATTGGACACAAACTTGTGGACAAAAATCCCAAATCCACCACCCACTCCCTTCCATTCTACTCCATCACTTCACCCCTTTGCATGCCCCCGTTTACAATAATACATTGATGCATGATAATTAGGATTGGACTTTTGTTTTTGGTTTTATTTCTTTTTATTAATAAAATTTTCTTTGAGACAAAATATTTTTCAGAAAATTATCTAAACATATTTAGAAGTTATCTTTTAGTCCATGAGCAGTTTTTAACTGTTCAAAAATCTTAGGATAAATTTCTTTGGGATACCCGATTTTTCATGCATGTCGTTTGGCTATTTAACGATTATAGAGAGTTTGCTTGGCAGGGTTTTACTTTCGTTTCCTTTTTTGTATACGGTAATGACTTCTCGTTAAAAACTCATATACGGTAATAGATAAAACACTTTTACAAATTTATTATTATTTTTTTTTTTTAGGAGTAACTTTTTAACTTTTCAGAGCCTTGTCAAATTGGCGCATATATATTTATTTAGGTGAAGATACCGCCAATATGATATTAAAAGGCTAGGGACGTGACTGCCATACTTTAGGTG